AAAATATAAAAGGGATTAAGCCACCCGGCCAGTGCGGCTCAGTGGTTGAGCATGGACCCATGTACCAAGAGGACACTGGTTCGATTTCCAGTTAGGGCACATGTCCAGGTTGTGGGCTAAATCCTTAGTTGGGGGGCATACAGGAGGCAGCCAATTGATGTTCTCTCTCATCGATGTTTTTATCTTCCTCTTTCTCTCTCTAACATCAATAAAGAAAGAAAAAAAAAAACTTTGAGGAAAAAAGTGATTAAAAATGTACCAATAAAAACTAACAAGACCCCAAAGTGCCCAATTTTATTATTATTATTTTTTAAATCTTCACCCTAGGATATATTTATTGATTTGGAAGAGAGAGAGAGAGAGAGACATTGACATGAGAGAGACATATCGATTGGTTTCCTCTGTACATGCCCCAACAGGGACCAAACCTGCAACCTAGGTATGTGCCCTGACCCGAAATTGAAACTGGTGTATGGAACAATGCTCTAACCAACTGAGCTACGTGGCTGGCTGGGGCCAAAGTTTCCAGTTTAAATGCATTGAGATGTTAGTGCTATTGATTTGAATGCACATAAGAAAGAAAAATTTCAATTTCAAAAAAATTAAAACCTAACTAGTGAGTGTGGTAACTAGATATGAAACCAAGAGATTTGAATTCACCACAAATGTTTTTTGAGAGAACATTTTCAATTTAGACTTTGAATATTTCAAAACATTTTTTAAAATTTATTTTTATTTTTTAAATGTTTTTATTGATTTTTTAAAAATTATTTTTATTAATTTATTTTTGTTACAGATGTTTCTCCTTTTTCCCCCATTGACTACCTCCTTCCCCACCTCGCCCCATCCCCAGCTTTGTTGTCTATGTCCACTGATTATGCATGCATACATACATGTAAGTTCTGTGGTTTATCTCCTCACACACACACACCCAGCCCCTCTTCTGAGGTTTGTCAGTCTGTATCCTACATCTATGTCTCCAGGTCTATTTTGTTCATCAGTTTTTTTAGTTCATTATATTCCACAAATAAATGAGATTATGTGGTATTTGTCTTTCTCAGATAGGCTTGTTTTGCTTAGCAAAATACTCTCTAGGTCCCTCCATGTCATCTCAAAAAATAAGAGATCTTTCTTTCTTACAGTTGCACAGTGTTCCATTGTGTATATGTATCACAGCTTTGTTATCCACTCATCTACTGATGAACACTTGGGCTGTTTCCAGATCTTAGCTATTGTAAATAGTGCTGCTATGAGCATAGGGGTACATATATTCTTTCTGATTGGTGTTTCAGGCTTCTTAGGATATATTCCTAGAAGTGGGATTATATGGCAGTTAAATTTTTAATTTTTTGAGGTTATACCATAGTGTTTTCCATAGTGGCTGCACCAGTCTGCATTCCCACCAGCAGTGTACTAGAGTTCCCTTTTCTCCACACCCTCGCCAACACTTGTGGTTTGAGGATTTGTTGATGGCAGCCATTCTGGCAGGTTTGAGGTGATACCTCATAGTTGTTTTAATTTGCATCTCTCTGATAATTAGTGACATTGAGCGTTTTTTCATATTCTCTTGGCCATTTGTATGTCCTGTTTGGAGAGGTGTCTACTTAGGTCCTCTGCCCATTTTATAATTGGGTTCTTTGTGTACTTTTGTTGAGTTGTATGAGTACTCTATATATTTTGAAAATTAACCCCTTATCTGATGTATCATTGACAATTATGTTCTCCCATACAGTGGGTTCTCTTTACATTTGGATAAAACACTTAAATGTGACTTGTGAATCCATAAAAATCCTAGAAGAAATTGTAGGAAACAAAATTTCAGACATGACACACAGCAGAAGGCAAGAGAAACAAAGGAAAAATTTAATACATGGACTACATCAGACTAAAAAGCTTCTGCACAGCAAAAGATACAACCATCAAAATGGAAAGGAAATCCACTGTAATGGGAGAGTATAGTTTCCAACAATACAAGACATACAAATGGCCAAGAGGCATGAAAAAATGCTCAACGTCACTAATCATCAGAGAGATGCAAATTAAGGTGACTATGAGGTATCACCTCAAACCTGTCAGAATGGCCGCCATCAACAAATCAGCAAACAACAAGTGCTGGTGAGGGTGTGGAGAAAAGGGGACTCTAGTACACTGCTGGTGGAATGCAGACTGATATAGCCATTATGGAAAACAATATGGTATTTCTTCAAAAAATTAAAAATGGAACTGCCATTTGACCCAGTGATCCCACTTCTAGGAATATATCTTAAGAAGCCTGAAACACCAATCAGAAAGAATATATGTACCCCTGTGTTCATAGCAGCACTATTTACAATAGCTAAGATCTGGAAACAGCCCAAGTGTTCATCAATAGATGAGTGGATAAAAAAGCTGTGTTACCATATATACAGTGGAGCACTATGTAGCCTTAAGAAAGAAAGATCTCTTATCCTTTGAGATGACATGGAGGGACCTGGACAGCCTTATGCTAAGCAAAACAAGCCATTCAGAGAAAGACAAATACCACATGATCTCACTTATCTGTAGAATATAATGAACAAAGTAAGCTGATGACCAAAGTAGACCCAGAGACATAGAAAGGAGTGTGATTCAGACTGACAAACCTCAGAGCTGGGGGGCAGTGGGAAGGGATGAGATAAACCAAAGAACTTATATGCATTTATGTGTAGCCAATGGACATAAACAACAATGCTGGGGGGGGGGGGGGGACCAAGATTGGAAGGAAGGTATCTAGGAGGGAAAAAGGGGAAACATCTGTAACAAAAATAAATTAATAAAAATTGGGGAAAGAAAAGACTCATGAGCAGGTCAGCAACACACACACACACACACACACACACACACACACACACACACAATGAAGAATAAAAATCATGTGGAAAAAAACAAAACAAAACAACAACCCTGAGCAACAGGGTTCAGAGATCTTACACTTTGGCCAATAACATCTGGTGCACCGTACCGCCGTTGGAACAGCAGCTCCCACACTCAGAACCCTTTTCTACCTTCACTTCCTTGGGCTATTCATTTGTATGCTTTATAATAAACTGTAATAGTAAGTACAGCCTTTTCCAGAATTCTGAATTTTTTTAACAAATTATCAAACTTAGTGAAGTGGCATCATTGGAACCCATAAATTTGTAGTCAAGTGGAGACAAGTGTGGATAACCTGAGGACCCCGTACTTGAGACTGAATCTGAAGTGAAGGCAATATTGTAGGACTGATCCCTTAAATGTGTGGAGTTGGGCCCTGGCCAGTTTGGCTCAGTGGTTAGAACGTTGGCCTGTGGTCCAGAGAAACCCGGGTTTGGTTTCTGCGAGGGACCCGTACCTCAGTTGCAGTTTGTCCCTGGTCCTGGTTGGTCATGTGGGTGGCAGCCACTCGATGTTTCCCTTTCACGTCGATGTTTCTCTCTCTCTCTCTCTTCCTCTCTCTCCCTCCCACTCTATCTGAACAAAAACTGGAAAAATATCCTTGGGTGAGGATAAAGAAAAAACAAAAACAAAAACAAAAAAACCCTGTGGAGTTGGGAACTTACTCCAGGTAATTAGTGTCAGAATTTAATTAAATTGACTTTTAGGACATGCAGTTGGTGTTTTCAAATAATTAAAAATTGGTTGCTGTCAGAAGAAACCTTCCACAAATATATAGTTTTCATGTTTTAAATGTCATGTAAATATCACAAAACATGTCATTCTTCAACTTGTATTTTATTCTCAACATTTTTGTGCATTTATCCATTTTGATTTTATATAGCTTTAGTTCATGAATTCCTGTATAGTTTTCCTCAGAATGAATACTCTAATCTATTCATTATATCTCCTGCTGGTGAACACTTGAATTGGTTCCAATTTTATTATTACTAAGAAGTCAGCAATAATAATTTTAAAGCATATCTCCTTATGCAAATTTGCAAGTGTCTCTAGGTTATGGAGTATGTGTATCATCAACTTGTGTAGAAATTGCCAAATTGCTCTCCAAAGTGATCATAACAATTTATATGCTACCAAGAAAGTGTGAGAGTCCCTGATTGTCTCATCCTGACCAAATTTTGTACTGTCTGGATTTTGCATTTTGCCCATCTGATGATTATGAAATGATATTTCTTTGCTATTTTGTTTTGTATTCTCTAATTACTAATTTAATTGAGAAGCTTTACTTGTCAGTGGTCTCTGGATATTCAGATTTCTTCTTCTGTGAATAGTCTGTTAATGTGCCAATGCTAATGTACTAACGGGTTGATGTCTTTTTTAAAAAAATGATTTGTGAACATTTAAAAATATATATGGACACTAATTTTACACTAGCTTATGTTAAACCCTTCATTTTAAAAATAATATATTTATTTTGAATTATAAAATAACACATTTATTATAGAAATTTTTGAAAATACAGAAACACATTGTAAAAAAATTAGAATTGCCAGTAATTACACAGTCCAAGGATAATTGCTGTTTCCCAATTGAGATTTATATATATATATATTTTTATCCTCACCCGAGGACATTTTTCCATTTTTTGTTCAGATAGAGTGGGAGGGAGAGAGAGGAACAGAGGGAGAGAGAGAAACATCGATGTGAAAGGAACACATCGAGTGGCTGCCACCCGCACGACCGACCGGGGCCGGGGACAAACTGCAACCGAGGTATGTGGCCTTAGAGGGAACCGAACCCGGGTCTCTCAGGACCGCAGGCCGACGCTCTAACCGCTGAGCCAAACCGGCCAGGGCGAGATTTATATTTAGAGTGTTTTTCTTTCACTATGAATCTATACTTTTTTATTTTAAAAACAAAACTGTCTTATACATATCTACCAACATTTAATTGTTCATGTGTGTATGTCTTAGCTTTCAATTAGATGGTAAGATCAGTGATGATAAAAGTCATATTTCCTGCTACATTGAGTCTTACACAGCATCAACAAAATGTCTTTTCTTTAAACAAATGTATTAAATATTGATTTAATGTTTCTTCCATTGCAGCACATCCAGATGTGAATGGTGTCAGGGTCCCAAGTTTGGTGAAGGTTACCACGTCATCCAATCCTGCAATGTTTTTGGAGCAATACACCTTCCTGTTATGTTTCATGTCTGTTCTTCTTCCTGCTATAATGAAGTGATTGAAAAGAGTTTTGTTTAGGGTAGTATTCCTTATAAAAGAGTAGCTCTAAATTCTGAGTTGATAAGCATACAATGATCTTTCAATTTCTCTTTAAAAACCATTAAAATTTTTATATATAGTAATTTATTTCTTTGGGACTATAGGTTCTATATGGAAAACATTAGTGCCTTTTCATGTGAACCTTCTTTGTAATCCAGCTCCTTATGAAAGTTTGTGATTGTTAGGGAGTTCTTGCAGAATAACTAGTTAAGAAGGATTAATAAAGATTTTGGGGTATCAATGAAGATCTATAACTTTTCTTTCAGACAATATTTACTATAAAAAGAAAAAAGCGTTAGACTCCTTTGCAAAAAAAGGATTTATCTTAAAACTGGCATTTCACGCATCCATTTAGTAATAAGATAACATTTCAGAGTCATCAGTGGGGTTTGCCTCATTTAGCTTCTAAGTGATGTATCCAAGTTCTCAACATTTGTGCATTTCTGTGGAAATTTATCCAGTGCCAACCATCTCAATTATGGATTACTTTTGGGAATAAAAATTTAGTTCCAGTCCTGTATTTACTTGTTTGAATTCATTACCCAGGATCTTAGAAAACTAGTACAATTTCTCACCCATATTAATGTTCATCTCATAAAACCTGACATCATAGGCTAATGCCAGCATTCAACATATGCACACAGTAGAACTTGTGGCTTTAAGAGTCAGTGTTTGGCAAGAGAAAGGTAAACAAGTATTTTGATAAACTAAACAATTTGTAAATAACGTTGTAATGAACATAGGGGTGCATATATTTTTTGAATTAGTGGTTTGGCTTTCTTTGAATATATTTCCAAAAGTGGAATTGCTGGGTCGTAAGAAAGTTCTATTTTTAATTTTTTGAGGTAACTCCATACTGTTTTCCACAGTGGTTTCACCAGTCTGCATTTTCACTAACAGTGCGTGAGGTTTCCTTTTTCTCCACATCCTCACCAATATTTGTTGTTTGTTGATTTATTGATGATAGCCATGATACCTCATTGTGATTTTAATTTACACTTCTGTGATGATTAGTGATATTGAGCATCTTTTCATATGTCTATTAGCCATCTGTATGTCCTCTGTGGAGAAGTATCTATTCAGGTCCTTTGCTCAGTTTTTAATTAGATTGTTGGTTTGCTTTTGGTGTTGAGTCTTATAAATTCCTTATAAATTTTGGATATTAAGCCTTTATCATATGTATTAGTGAATATGTTCTCCCATTCAGTGTTGTCTTTTCATTTTGTTGAGGGTTTCCTTTCTTGTGCAAAAACATTTTAATTTGATGTAGTCCCATTCTATATTTTTTCTTTTGTTTCCCTTCCCAGAGGTGATATAACAGAAAATATAAATATACAAAATCTCAGAATTTTTGTTCAACTTTTTCCACTAACTTTTATTCGTTTTATTTATTTATTATTTTATAATTTAACTTATTTATTTTTGGTACAAATGTTTCTCCTTTTCCCCCCACTGATATGCCTTTCTCCCAACCTCCCCGCCATGTTCCCAGCTTTGTTGTCCATGTTCATTGTTCATACATACATTCATATAAGTTCTGTGGTTTATCTCTCCCCACCACCCCCTCTTCATGGGATTGTCAGTCTGTGCCCCACTTCCATGTCTCTGGGACTACCCAATTCCTCAGACTGTTATATTCATTATATTCCACAAATAGGTGAGATCCTGTGATAGATGTCTTTCTCTGCTTGGCTTGTTTTGCTTAGAATAATGCTCTCCAGGTCCCTCTATGTTGTCTCAAAAGATAAGAGATCTTTCTTTCTTACAGCTGCATAGTACTCCATTTCATATATGTACCACAGCTTTTTTATCCATTTGTCTACTGATGGGCATTTGGGCTATTTCCAGATCTTAGCTATTGTAAATAGTGCTGCTACAAACATGGGGGTACATATATTCTTTCTGATTGGTGTTTCAGGTTTCTAAGGGTACAGTCCTAGAAGTGGGATCACTGGGTCAAATGGCAGTTCAATTTTCAATTTTTTGAGGTAACACCATATTGTTTTCCATAGTGTCTGCACCAGTCTGCATTCCCACCAGCAGTGTACTAGAGTCCCCTTTTCTCCACACCCTCGCCAACACTAGTTGTTTGATGATTTGTTGATCATCATTCTGACAGGTGTGAGGCAATACCTCATTGTTGATTTAATTTGCATCTGTTGATTAATGACATTGAGCATTTCTTTATATGTCTCTTGGCCATTTCCATGTTCTTTTTGGAGAGGTGTCTATTTAGTTCCTCTGCCCATTTTTGAATTGGGTTCTTTGTCTTCCTTTTGTGGAGTTGTATGAGCACTCTATATATTTTGGAAATTAACCCCTTATCTGATACATCATTGGCAATTACGCTCTCCCATACAGTGGGTTGCCTTTCCATTTTGATGGTTGTTTCTTTTGCTGTGCAGAAGCTTTTGAGTTTGATGTAGTCCCATGTGTTCAGTTTCTCTTTTGTTTCTGTTGCCTTAGGTAATGTATCAGTGGAAATTTTGCTGCCTATGATGTCTGAAATTTTGTTGCCTACATTTTCTTCTAGGATTTATATGAATTCATGAGTCACATTTAAGTCTTTTATTCATTTTGAGTTTATTCTTGTGTATGGTGTAAGTTGATGGTCTAGTTTCATTTTTGTGCATGTAGCTGTCCAATTTTTCCAACACCATTTATTAAAGAGGCTGTCTTTACTCCACTGTATGCTCTTGCCACCTTTGTCAAATGTTAATTGAGCTTATTGTCTCGGGTCCTTTTCTGGGTTCTTTATTCCATTGATCTATCTGCCTGTTCTTGTGCCAGTACCAGGCTGCTTTGATAACAGTAGCTTTGTAGTATAACCTAAAATCTGGTAATGTGATCCCTACAACTTTATTATTCTTTCTCAACATTGCTGTGGCTATTTGAGGTCTTTTTTGGTCCATATGAACTTTTGAAGTATTTGATACAGTTCTGTGCAGTATGTCATTGGTATTTTCATGGGGATTGCATTGAATCTATAGATTGCTTTGGGTAGTATGGGCATTTTAATGATGTTAATTCTTCCAATCCATGAACAAGGTGTGTGCTTCCACTTTTTTTTTTTTTTATCCTCACCTGAGGACATTTTTCCATTTTTTGTTCAGATAGAGTGGGGGAGAGAGAGAGAGAGAGAGAGAGAGAGAGAGAGAGAGAGAGAGAGAGAGAGGCATCAACGTGAAAGGGACACATCGAGTGGTTGCCACCTGTACTACCAACCAGGGCCGGGGACAAACCACAGTCAAGGTACACGCCCTTAGCGGGAACCAAACCCGGGTCTCTCTAGACCGCAGGCCGATCCTCTAACCACTGAACCAAACAGGCCAGGGCTACTTCCACTTTTTTATATCTTCCTCTATTTCTTTTTTCAATGACCTGTAGTTTTCTGAAAATACATCTTTTATTTCTTTGGTTAAGTTTATTCCTAAGTATCTTAATTTTTTTGCTGTGATGGTAAATGGAATTGTTATTTTAGTTTCTCTTTCTGTTAGTTCATCATTGGTGTATAAGAATGCTGTCAATTTCTTGATGTTAATTGTGTATCCTGCTACTTTTCCAAATTCATTTAATAAGTCTAGCAAAGTTTTGATGGAGTCTTCGGGGTTTTCTACATATAGTATCATGCCATCTGCTAATGATGACAGTTTCACTTCCTTTCATTTTTTTTCTTCCTGACTGATTGCTGTGGCTAAAACTTCCAGTACTATGTTAAATAAGAGTGGCGAAAGTGGGCATCCTTGTCTTGTTCTTGTTCTTAAGGAAAATGCTTTTAGTTTTTACCCATTGAGTACGATGTTGGCTGTAGGTCTTTCATAAAGGGCCTTTATTATGTCCATATATGATCCCTCTATTCTGTTATTGCTGAGAGTTTTGATCAGAAATGGGTGCTGGATTTTGTCAAATGCTTTTTCAGCATCTATTGATATGATCATATGATTTTTATCTTTCACTTTGTTCATGTGGTGTATCACAGTTATTGATTTGCAAATATTGTACCAGCCTTGCATCCCTGGGATGAATTCCACTTGGTCATGGTGAATAATTTTTTTGATGTATTACTGGTTCCAATTTGCTAGTATTTTGTTCAGGATTTCGGCATCTATGTTCTTCAGGGATATTGGTCTGTAGTTTTCTTTCTTTGTAGTGTCTTTTTCTGGTTTTGGAATTAGAATTATGCTGTCCTCATAAAATGAGTTTGGAAGTCTTCTTGAATTTTTTGAAATAGTTTCAGGAGAATGAGTATTAGTTCTTCATTGAATGTTTGGTAAAATTCCCCTGTGAAGCCGACTGGGCCTGGGCTTTTGTTTGCTGGGAGAGTCTTGATTACATCTTCATTTCCTTCATTGTTATTGGTCTGTTCAAGTTTTCTGTCTCTTCCTGGTTCAGTTTTGGGAGACTATGTGTTTCTAGAAATTTGTCCATTTCACTTAGATTGTCAATTTGTTGCTATATAATTGTTCATATTATTTGTTAAAAATTCATTGTATTTCTGTGATGTCAGTTATTATTTCTCCTCTTTCATTTCTGATTTTGTGTATTTGGGTTTTCTCTCTTTGTTTCATGGTGACTGTAGCTAAGGGTCTATCAATCTTGTTTATCTTTTCAAAGAACGAGCTCTTTGTTTAATTGATCCTTTGAATTGTTTATTTGGTCTCCATGTCATTTATTTCTACTCTGATCTTTACTGTTTCCTTCCTTCTACTTGCTCTGGGGTTTTCTTTTTGTTTGCTTTCTAGTTCTTTAAGTTGTGAGGTTAGATGATCTATTAGAAATTTTTCTTGTTTCTTGAGATAGTGCTATGAACTTCCCTCTCAGAACTGCTTTTGCTGCATCCCATTGATTTTGTGTTGTGTGTTCATTTTCATTGGTTTCCAGGAAGTTTTTAATTTCTTCCTTGATCTCCATGGTAACCCATTCATTGTTCAATAACATGCTATTTAGCCTCCATTTGTTCTAATGTCTTTGCATGTTCTTGTCACAATTAATATCTAGGTGCGTGCCATTGTGATCTGAGAAGATGCTTGATATGA